TGCGGAGATCTCGCGAGAGTTGAGGGGGAGTGAGAGGGGCGCCTGCCGGGTTCTCGCGAGAGTTGGGGGTGGCGGCAGGGGCCGGGGCCGTAGCTCGCTGCCGGCAGGGGGGCGCCCATTTCCTGAGCTCCTGGGGGGTGTGAGCGCAGGGCTGTGAGAGACCGCCGCGGTTCGATCAGACCCGCAGCCCGCAAAACCTTAGGGTGGGCATACACTGAACAAATTCTTCCAGTCAGTAGCTTCCAAAAAATAACCAAAAGCAAGCCCTTAGAGCAGCATCCAGGTGAGAGGGTTTGATACCAGAGACGAGGCAGGCTGGGCAGGCACTGGAATGCTGCCCCTTCCCCGTCACTGACAGGAAAATTGGAGTTCAGCTGAGTCAAATCGAGTTAAACCAGTACAGAACAACAACTCAGAGGCCTGAGATTGTCTCAGCCCTTTCACAAGCTTAATGCAAAAGACAAGCACCCCGGTGAACTGCCTTTTCCACATGTCTGCCTGTTAACTGCTGGGCCGCTTCCAACTGCTGGCGCTCTGGTTTTCAGCTGGAAAACAACTGTAACCAAAAGATGAAGAAAAAATAGTATGTGTTTAGAATAACCTGCTCTCTGCTGTCTGGCTTTAGCAGGGTAGACGGCAAGAAGGGAATTCAGAAAGAAAACTCCAACATGTGTATCTGTGCCAACAATGGCTGGAAAGTGACCATGGCGGCCCTCCTTTTCCTACCCCCATGTTTAAAAATTGACAACTTTAAGAGGAAAACAATCTCCAAAATTATCCAAAACACTCAATCCTAGAGGTTTTTTTCTGGTTACAGATTAATGCAAGCGCATATTGACCCAAAATGAGCCCATGGGCTAGCTGTAGAGATTCAGGAAAGAGCCAGGACCGTGATGGGGCACCTCACACCATGGGTACATCTCTTCAGACCTTCTGCTGTTTCTGTGTCTGAACTGAAACACAGGGGGGAGCATGCCTCTCTCCTTGTCCCTGGAGAAAAGGCAAAGCACAATTAATTCCCTCATCTCACCTGCAGCTGAAGGTTCTTGCCAGGGCCTTGAGCAAAGCTCAAAATGTGTCTCTGTCCCCAGCAGCCCTTTCCCCAGCCCTAAACTTCATTGCCGTGATAACTCTGCCAACACCATGGAGCTAACACACATCGATGAGAAAGAAATACTACTTACTCACAGCTGGTCAGGTTGGACGCTTGGTGTTGCAAAGCAGCTCCCAATTCCTTGCCAGCTAGCGAGCCTCAAAAATAAAGACCACCATCAAGGTGTGTTGGTAGTTGTTGAAATAAAGTGCCTGGGAGAGACAAGCAGGTCAGTGGGGCTTTATTTGCTATGTGAGAGATTTTGCAGCTGCGATCGGCCCTGCAAGGGATCAAGCTCCTGACACCATGTCTGTTGCCAAATTACGTCGCTAGATCGCAATCACGTACCCTGCAGGCACAACTCTTGCATAGGGTACTCCCCAGCATGCAGCAAGTGTTGCTCTGGGCACTAAAAGCATCTCAGAGGCCAATTTCCACCAACCAAGCACCTTCCAGGAGAAGCAGAGGGGCTCACTCTGAGCTACAAAAAGCTGGCAGGGGGGCTGGGCTAATGCTGGCTAGCTGGAGCACTTGCAGCTCCATCCCCATCAGCCCTGCTCCCAGCACCCTGATGAGCTTGGCCACTCCCTCACTGAAGCCTGGCCCATCTGGCAAAGGAACAAAATAGTCTCCCCAGCCTTAATTTGCAGGAAACTACACTTTGCATGGGCAATACAGGGAGGTTAACGTGCCAAAGGCAGCCATCCAGGGGAGCAGGTAAGGTATCATCACTGTTTGCTGGGAGTGATTTCTGCCCTTGTCTTCTGTGCAGGAGAGCTGTGCTGTGACCCTGCTGCCACTCAGGGAATAGAGCTGATTTCCTTCCCTGGAGGTGGACACGCAGGCAGCCTGCAGCAGCATCACATATTGTTTTGTGGCAGACGCATTTTGCAATGACTTGGTACATACCTTAATGAGAGCAGGATAATCTAAATACAGCTGTTTTGAGGAATGAATGAAACACCTTCTCCCTCATTAGGGCTTTCCTCTCCAGATCTGTATCTCATTTGGATATTGCAGCATAGCACTTCTGGTCAGAAATGTTTTAAAAACAACCTCCCCCATAAATGTTGGCTCTACGTAGGCCCCATGGAGAAGGATTTCTCAGGAGACTTCAAAACCAAGGGATAAAACTGCAAGTGGGGTTGGGAGAAGGGGTTGCTGGGGTGGACTTCTCCAAAGCAGGCACTGATGGCATCTCCCTTTTCCTGGGAGTATGTGGCCAGACGGGCAAAGTATTGCTGCACGGTGTTTTTTGAGAGATGATCTGTGCCTCATTTTAACCACAACCAGGAGCCAATGCGCAATACCAGCCACACTGCCAGGGCTTTGTGTGCCTGTCCGTTATGTTGACCCTACAGCATTTCCCTCCTGATGGCTTTTCATTACCTTGGGTGTCCCTCCTGACATTAGGTGGCAGCAGGTGGGTAGCACCTGGGGCACAGTCAGATGATAATGTCTGTTAAAGCTCCCCAAAGACCCTTGCGTCCAGCCTCTGGCTTCTCCCTGTCCCAGCGAACATGTAGCACGGAAACGCCTCTTGCCAGGGTTTCTGGTTTCAGGGTGGCGTGCGTTCGCATGCTTGCAGCAGGACAGGCTTCTCTCTCGCCTTGGGGTGTGCTTTCCTCTCCGCTTGAAGTCGATATGGTACAAATGTGCAGATGTCTGCTTGAAGGCACGTGCTTGGGGGTATCTCGAGTGACCAGGGCCCATCACTCCTGCAGAAGCAGGTTGCATCCAGCTGCAAAAGACAAAGACAACAGCACTTCCCCACTTTTCTGTCTAGCTACCTTAGTAGAAAGCATAATTTCAAAACAGAAGGGAAAATAAAGCTTCCCCCCACCATCAGCAATGATGGTTTATTTTGAGGGCATCCTTGCAAAGTGGGCATTACCTGGGACATGCTTTGTGACAAGCGTTTATGGCTCACGTCCCCGACTGTCTCTTTGTGGGAAGCTGTGGCCATGTTGTGGCTCAGCCGCTGACAGCTCAGTCGCCATCCCTGCAACCTAAAAGCAGCAACGTTAAAATTACCCCATCCTCAAGCACCCAATGGCTCCCCTGTGCTCCTCTCCTTCCTGCCACCACAACTTGTGCCTTTTGGGTCCCTGGGCTTTGGGTGGTCACCAGGTTTGGGTGATCGCTCATCCCAGGTGTTGCCATCACACTACATGTGGCTGTCATTGCTGGCTGCCCTCCCCCGCTGACTTGTCTCCAAAGAACCAACTACCCAACCTGAGAAAATAGAGATTGAATGAGTTTTGGGTCTGCTCACGAGTCCTTTTCCTCCTCTCCCCACTGAGTGCCTGCCTTCCCCAGCTCCTTGCACATCCTGACCTCCAGTTTGTTGGTTAAATCATTCAAGGTTCTTCTGAGAGCTCCTGGGATGGCGAAACCCAGAGGCTTGCCCAGCCCATACTGGGATGTGAGCATCACATTAGGCTGTGAGCTCCTCCAGTTTCGTGTCCTGATTTGCAGCACCCGACACAGGCATCTGTCATGGAAACAAGCGGCCAGCAGGCTCCTGGCCCCAAGTGGGCAGGGACAGCCCTGGGCAGAACAGCATCCATCTGTCCCCAAAGGCAAACCCCGGGGGGGGAGTCAGAGTGCACCCCTAGAGAGCTGGAGATGAACATGAGTGCCAGAGGTTTGCTAATTTTCAAATTCTCAAAATTGGCCTTGATGTCCTTTCTCACCACCCAATAAATCACTTTTCTGAAGGGATGACATTATAACAAAACGTAGTAAAAACATAGGAGGATAGCTTGTCTGGTTTTGGTATCTATTTTATTTTCAGTATTAAATAGCACATAAAAATAATTTATGCAGGCAAATATACATAATATACTCTGTAATAAATAGCAGGTAAAAAAATAGATTTCCTTAAAATAGTCAGTGTTTTGAAAACCAGCAAAACAAAGATATCGAATAAATACACTAATCCCCGTTGAACAGCATCTTTCAGGAACGGCATTTCTTTAGCTCCTCCCAAGCCATTCATAAATACACAATAAACCCCAATAATTTAAAAGACTGTGAAAAAAAAATTGCTCCCTGAGCTCACATAAATTAGAAAAATGCTTAAATAGGAAATACAGTCCAGTGATGCAATAAAAATAACTTTTCCTGGTCCTTGGGGCATCCTTTGGGGCCAGTGAGCACTGCGCCGTGCTGGCCACGCTGCTGGCGGGGGCTAAGTGCATTGCTCCCGGAGGGCCACACACTGCAGGTCTTTCAGCACTTCAAAGATGTAGATGATGGCAGAGGCCTCCAGGCAGCTGGTGGTCTCCTGTGGCAGGGAGAAGGGATGGATTAGCACCGGAGGCAGGGTGCAGAGGGCCCCGTGCAGCTGTGCGGTCGCTGACACCCTGAAACCCCCTCGCCCTGCTGGCCTGACTTACTGTTTCCCTGGCTGTCTGCAGCTTCTGCAGCCAGTGCCTCAGTTTCCTGGAGGGCTGATGCAAAGGAGCCTCCGTGGCCATCTGCAGGGAAAGCAGTTGTGTAAGGACTGGCGATGCTGCCTGCACCGCCGAGCTGGCCCAAGGCCGGTGGGCTCTGTGGGGGGTACTCACACAGTGTCGCAGGTCCTCCCGGGCTTGGGTGAGGAAGGCCATGGGCTGCTGGCGCGTCCCACTGAAACTGGGGTCAGCGGGGAGCCCCAGCATGGCAATGGTGAGGTTCAGCTCAGCTTCCACCAGCATCATGCGGTCAGGTACCTGCGGGCAGGAGCATCCCAGTTAGGGACCCAAAGCGCCAGGGCTGGCTGTGGGCTGGAGGATGGGGGTCTTGAAGACCTGCTTGGGGGTGGGGATGGAGGTGGGACTGGCTGACAGGAGGTCCCAGCTGGAGTGGAGGGTGTACCCCCTTTTCACAGCATTGCCTTGCTCTTACCAACAGCTCCGCTGGGTTCAATTTCCGATGGAAGAGCTTGATGCATTTGCGGTTTGGCAGCAGAATGTTCTCCTGCAGGCATAAACCAAGAGAGGGACAGATTGAAAAGCTGTCACCTTGATTTTTGGCGATGTTAGGGTCTCAAATTCGACGTCCTCTCTGCCTCACCTCCCGCCAGCCCACAGTCCCCTCTGGTACTTACAAAGTGCTGCTTCATCTTTTGCACAGCCTTCCGCTCGTGGGGTGCGGGGAGCTGGTACTTGGACAGGCTGCAGCTCTTCTTCAGGGCATGGTGGGGGAAAGCA